TGACATTTACAATTAGAATAAAAATCAATTTGAGAAAAACTTGTAGAATAATTAATCAAATTGTTGACATAAAAGCACTTCCTTCCAAAATAATCAAGATTTAAACCCTCATTTTCCCTCCCACCTTCTTCTCCCCATGGTCATAAGAGTTTCAATTAATTAATCTGTCCTATTAAAAAAAATGTAAATTTTTTTTTAAATTATTCATTATTAATCAATAATATTCCCTACCATCTATTTTAAAATAAGGCAAAACAAAAAATCAAAAAATTCTGACATGTCAAGATTTTTATCAAGCCATCAATTACGTAAGTTTCAGTCTACAATTCATGTAATGGATGGTTTGATGGATGTCTTGGCATATTAGAACATTTTAAAAATTTGAGAGCTTAAAAATATATATATAATGAGAAAATTGGATCTCAGTATTAATTTTTAATCGAAATGAATTAATAAGACGATGACATTTCAAGTTAACAGTATAAAATCCCAATTTTGCTCATCTTCAACTTTCTCTGTTTCTACTTTCCACATTTTGTACATAACCCTTTCCTTTGATTTGCCCTTGTTCCTTTGTTTCAATTCATCCCCTTTTCTTCTTTGATTTGCCCATGTTTATCTGCATTCAAAAGCTCTCTATTCTAAAACGCTTTCCTCTGCAAATTCTCCTTTCATCCTCCCGACACCATAGCCACTCGACTAATTCACGGGAGGCTTGAAGATAATATAAAAGAAATTCCAAGGGCAAATAAAAAGAAATGGTTCTGTAAAAAATCTGGAAAATAGAAACAAGGAAAGTTGAAGATGAGCAAAATTGGGTTTAATATTTTGAGTCGAAGATGAGCAAAATTGGGTTTAATATTTTGAGTCGAAGATGAGCAAATTATACTGTTAACTTGAAATGATGCCGTTTTATTAATTCAATCCAAATAAAAATTAATAATATTGGTTGAGATCTAATTTTTTGATATATAATTCTCTATTTTATAGTTTAAATTATACTATACTATATAAAAGAGTTGTTAAATAAAAGAAAACTCAATTTCAAAAAAATTTACTTTTTATTTAACTATCAATATCATGCATTCTAATGTAATCCTTCTCTGAAATCAAATATTCTCTAAAAATTTTATTGGGCAGATTGATGAATTTAAAGGGATTCTTTTATTTCCGTTTAAATTAATTACAAAAGGTGTACAGTACATGTTTGAAAAGTCCAAGACAAAGAAAAAGAAAAAGGAGAAGAATAAGAAAAAACTGAAGTGAGTATTTGATTAAATCTAATTCTCTGGGTTATGATCACTTTTCATGGGGTGGGATCTTAGGACATCAAAGCAATGTAAAGGAAAAGATTATGAGTATCCAATTACCAATGCAAAAAAGTTACTAAAATAATTAACAGACCACCATCTTTAATTTTTCCCTAAAAAAATGACGCCCCACTAAATGTCCTTTTTCACATTCATTATATTCAATTAATTAAATATTTGACACATAAATCTCGTACCGTTTATAGTAAGATACATTTTCTTAATATTAAAGTTAAGATTCGAATTTTTTTACTCTTAAAAGTTATAAATTGTTTAAAAAAATAATTAAATATTTCTCTTTTTTTAAAATAAAATATAAATGAAGTTTTTTAATTTTTATTTCAAAAGTATATTTATTATTTTTTGTCTTTAATTTAGATAAAAAATCACCAAAATAAATTTTATTTTCTAATATTAATATTATAAGAAACAATTTAATAGATGAATGATAAAAATAAAGTTAATTTTTATTTTTTATTTAAATTAATAATAAAAGTACAATAAATCAACTATTTATTTTATTATAAAAAATTTCAATATAAATATTTAATTAATCAAATTAAAAAGCTAACAATAAATCTCCAATCACACAACCCTCTATGTCACCATCTGTCAACTACAAAGATCTTGATCCAACGGCTATAATGAGACTGAATAGCTGGTGGGATTCACAGGCGAAAACGTTGCCGATGAAACCAAACAGATAAATTCCAAAGTGCTTTCAGCAGTTTCTTCTTCACTCTAACTTCCGAAGAACCCAGAAGACGACGAAGAAGAACGATGGCTCTCGGGGTCAAAGCCTTCCCCTTCACGTTTGTGGTGCACTTGCTTGGGATCGCCGGCGTCGTTTTGGTTCTTGTTTGGTGCATACACTTCAGAGGCGGTCTAGCCTGGGAATCTTCAGACAAGAGTCTCATCTTCAATGTAAGTTTAATTTTCATTTTCTCTCTTCTTCTTTCTCTCTGGTTTTTCTTCAGGTTTTTTTTGGGGAATTCAAATGATTCATGTTTAGTTTCATTCAATCATGTTTCGATTCATGTAAATTTTCTCTTTTCTTTTTGAATTTTATGCAATTTAACTCGGTCTAATTGAAAACTTATAAATATATAGTTAGCATATAGCTTTGGTAGAGATTTAAATTTTAAAATTAGTAAGTACGAACACATTCAAACTCTAACTCTTATTATAAAGTGTGCAAATTAATTATTGTTATTTGGTGAGGATTTGTTGTTTGATGGTGAAGCAATCATTTAGTTATTATAAAGGTTTAAATTTTAAAATTAGTGAATGCTAACTCAATCAAGATTTAAATTGCTTAAAATTTACAAATTGATTATTGTTGTTTAGTTTGGTTTAGCTTTCACAGTTTCACTTTTAGCAATCAAGAGGATTTGTTCTTAGTTAAGAAGAATTGATTCCCCTAAGTTATATTAGCATTTTTGGATTTATTCTTTGGTTCTCTTCTTCTTGATATTGATATGACATTGGATACCCTCCAACTGAATCGGATTCATTGTTTCTTTGTTCTCCATTGACTAATTTACAAATAGATTTTACATAAAATAGATTTCAATTGACTTTTTCTTTGTGATGAAGGAATATTCTATTTTGATAAGTGGAAATACTAATACTAATTTTTTTTTAACAAAGTAATTGGAAGAAAAAGAAATAAAGAGACTGTTAATACAATGATTAAAACTTTAATATTTATCAAAAATTTAATACAACTGTACCAATGCAACCTAAGCTGCCGGTGCTACTAATACTAATATAGCGCAGGGAAATTGACAGTAGAAACGAAAACCCCAAAAATATTTATTGGTTTGATTCGGAAAGTCTGCTAGGTAGCTGTCTTTCTTAGGAGTAGTTGCAGCATGTGTCAGTGTATGCTTATGGAGAAAAAAAAAATCAAGACATGCATTATGAAATTAGGTGATAAATTGCCTTGGTTTCGCCCCACCTAATTTTTGTCCTTTTCGATCATCACTAACTACCATTCTTTATTGTAGCTTGCATCTAACCCTATTTTCCAGCCTTATTCAGCTACCCTCCAATCTGACATTTGAGGTGTTGTTGTTTGGTTTTGTACCATATGTGTATTATTTGAATATGTAACTATCGTACCCATCATTGTTTTGCTTTAATTTTCATCGTACCCATCATTGTTTTGATTTAATTTTTAAGTTAAGTGTTCTACAATTTGAGCCTCACTGCACAGCTCATCTGTGCTAGCATGCTTATCCGTCATTGGGATTTTGCATACTGTAGTACTCTTTGTTGGTCCTACAATATGGTTAACACATTTCTTCTTTGTTTTTGGTTCAGATTCATCCTGTACTGATGCTAATTGGCCTAATTATCATTGGTGGTGAAGGTAATTTAAACAACCTTTTTGATGGGCTTAATTAGTTGTTAATTAATCTTTAATTTCTTTGGGATTGCAAATATTACGAATCATTGCCATATATATGTGTGCTCTAATGAATTTTCTGAAAAAACATATGCAGCTATTGTTAGTTACAAGTCAGTCCTTTTGAAGAAGGAAGTGAAGAAAGTAATACATCTCACTCTGCATGCTATTGCACTGATTCTGGGTATTGTTGGCATCTGCGCTGTATTCAAGTACCATAATGAGAGTTCAATCGTCAATCTCTACAGTTTGCATTCTTGGCTTGGAATTGTGGTCATCATCCTCTATGGCATTCAGGTAAATTAGCAACCCGAAATTTCATGTATTTTCTTCAGTATATTGATTCTAGAAACAAATACACAAATTGCAGTGGATATATGGGTTTATTATATTCTTCTACCCGGGAGGATCAGAGGGACTAAGGGCAGACTCGCTTCCATGGCATGTGGCATTTGGGATGTTTGTGTACGTGCTAGCAGTTGCCAATGCTGCCTTAGGATTTCTGGAGAAGCTTACATTCCTTGAGAACTCGGGTCTTTCCAAATTTTGTTCTGAAGCCATCCTTGTAAACTGCCTTGCTGTGATCACAATTCTGTATGGAGCCTTTGTGATATTAGCAGTTGGTTGCCAGGGTAATGAAGAAGATGACCACAGCTATTCAGCTATATAAATATAAATGCTGTAGATAGATGTACCAAATAATTGTAATTCTCTTTTCTGTGATTGTGATTGTTATGAAAGCCAGGATCTCTACTGGTTGTATTAGTAGAACATGAAATCATTATCTATTTTCTCGTAGACATGAACTTATGGTCTATAATAGTAGATTGTGTTCTCTGTACTGTATCCTCTGTAACTGCTTTGTTTGTTCTTCATCCTGCAAAATTTTAGCCACACTTATCACTCCAACATTCATTTTCTCTGGTGAGCTAGATCCATCTATCGAGTAAGTTGAAGATTAGGGAATTCAATATTTTCTATAGTGAACTAGATCCATCTATCTAGTAAGCTGAAAATTAGAGAATTTAAAAGGAATTATCTAATAATTAATATACATAAACTCTGATATCATATGAAAATTATGTATGTGAATTTTAACACAAAATTTATATCTATTTTAAAATCAATTAATAATAGATAAAATCAATTAATAATAGATAAAATAATTCTTAGGTGATCTCTTATAATATCTCATGGAGATTGTGAGTTGACTATCCTTTGTACTTCTCACCATAATAAAATATTTTGATTCATCAAAAAAATAAAAAATAGATTAAATAACTTTCCTTCTATTTAATCCATTAGTTTTTTATTATATATTTGACGTGGGATTTCTCACTCAACACAAGATATGGTGTGCATGCATCTGCTTGAAGTATCATAGATTAATAATGCTAATTAAGGCAGAATATAATGGTAATTGTTCTTTTTATTGTAGATTATACAGTAACCTCTCTCATGTCTCTACCTACTGCCCATATAATGTACAACTAAAGCTATATGACCTAGTTACTGCTAAAGAAAAGATATTACTATCAGATTATTAGGTCATTAGCTTAAAAAATTATTGTTAATTGTGTGGAAAATTTCCCAACTCGCCATGGACAGACAGCAGTTCAACTTGTTCGGTCTTTCTTTTTTTTTTTTAAGTTATTTGATTTTACCCGCATGCTTGTAATAACTCAATGATCATAAATATTGCACGGAATGCTAAAGAAATTAATGCATAATATTTATGATCCTGCACGTAAATATGGAGACGAAGGGAATTCAATTTCCGGAAAAATGGAATATTTATTTCTATAAATAGAAAGTCACTGCAATTCTATCATTCTATGCCATAATTTGGACCCTTTAATGGTGTTGAAATGGACAAAGGTATGTTATATAGTATTCAAGTTATGTTTTCCTTTCTCTTTCATTTTATCAAAATTAGCCTTTCATATTCCAAGGCAAAGTTCAACCGATAAGAATTTGAATTTTAAATTTAGTGAATTTGAAAAATGGTAAAATTTTCTCTTATTAAATAACTTATTGTTGAATTATATATTTATAAAAAGTTTATTTTTATTTATATTCAATATATGGCTTCTAAACATGCGGTTTCAATCTTTTTCAACTCTTATCTCTTATCTGTCATGGTTAACAGGCTAACGCTAACTAATAGATAATAATTTTTCCTGCCGGCAGAAATTGGACAACTAGATGATTCAAAGACAAAATTTGAAGAGAAAATTAAGGCATGGGAAGAAAGAGAAAAGAGAAGGGGTGAAAATGAGTAATCCCTAATTCTTGCTTGCTTTGTTTTACTTTCTGCATATAGACATTAAACAGCAGACAAGTTGTGTTAAATTTAGGCTAAATTGATATCAGCTAGCTAGCATGCCTGTAACCAATTAACCAATTTCTCATTAGTGGGAGTGTCGTTTTTTATTTTTTTATTTTTTTATTTTTTTTTATTTTTAAAAACTTAATTATAATATGTTTGAATTGAAAAGAATGGAGAAGAGAAAAAAAAATTTCCTTATTTAATTAAAAAAATGAAGAGGGGAGGGGAAATTTTTCTTCTTTTTTTTTTTGTTTAATTAATTTAATGACTTATCTAAATAATGGGGAGGGAAGGAAGAAAAATTATATCCTTTCATTCCCCTCCCCTCCCCTCCCCTCCCTTTTCCTCTCCACCATTCTCCTCAATCCAAATATAAGATAAAAATTTTAATACAAAAGCTATTTTAGTTTAAAAAATGTCATTTCGGATTGGAAATGAACATAATTAATGAATTATATTTATCCCTAATAATGCTAGTAATAATTTCAAATATAATTGTGTAACTTTATTTTATTTCTTTATTATCATATATTTTGATGCAGTTCATTTAATTAATTAATAATATCTAAGGGCCAAGATTGATAACTTTTTTTAGTATATTAGAACTTATTCTAAGGTTTTAAACACGTAACCTGACCTAAAATTAAAGTTTTTAAATTAATAAATTTTAATTTGGCCAAAAATGCTGGAAAGTGATGAATTGGTATATGCTGAAATGCAGGTTTCATAGAGCAATTGTTGATATGGAGGCTTGGCAGAAGCAAAGGGAAGCATCTCAAGCGGCCAAATACAAGCAATTAGAGGTAAAAAAAAAAAGTATATAGAGTTTGTGAGAACTATTAGATATTTAGATGAGAGATGGCTTTCGTATTTAAGTAGTTTATTTATCTAATAGTTTAAATTGTGTGTTTGATAACTTTTGAACTATTTATCAGATTGAACAACACATTTTTCAAAAAAAAAATAACAAGCATTGTATATATATAATGATGACATTTTGATGTGGGGATTCGGACCTTAAATTTCATGATGTCTCAATTGTCTTCAGTTGCTGACTTACTAGATCAGTCCCCTCCTAGACAAAGGATGATTTATACTTCAATGGTTCTGAGATGAGCAAAACCTGTATGATCAGGTGGAGGTGGAGAGCTTCAAGCAATTGAAATTGGTGAAAGTGAGGAAAGAGGAAGCTCAAATGCAGAAAACCTTAGTAGTAAAGAAGGCAGCAATTGAAGCACGAAGACAGAAACACAATCTTGACGTGCAAACAAAAGCTGCATTTTACCGTTCCACTAACACTCGTCCATCCAGCTGTTTTGGCATTTGTAGAGATTAAGCGCGTGTTTGGTCGTGGAAAATTTCGTTTGCCATTTTTATTTTTCATTTCTAGAAATCAATTCAATTTCCTTCATCCTATAACTCAAGGAGAATGCCCTGTATTATAATAAACAATTCTCCTTCATCCTATAAAGACACTTTGCCTAGGTCAGGACCGTTGGTTCAGGAGCCCAAGGCCCTGCAGTCTAATAAACTTTGTTTCTTCTAATAATACAATACAAGGCAGAAATTTGACCCAATGAGGGCGAAGTTGAGCTACCCAACTTGGACCCAGATCCAGTTCCATTCTACGAAAATGGGTTGGTCTGACAGGTTGTTCTTGTTCTTCTTGTTCTTCTTCTTCTTCTTCTTCTTCTTCTTCTTAGTAGAATATTTACCATTTTTTTTTAAAGTAGAATACTACTATTCTTACAATATTCAACACGACATAAATAAAATGGAGCAAAAAAAATTGGTAAAACATAATTTAGGAACCTGTTTATCATTCTCTTATGAAAATAAAGAAAAAAAAATCGGAAATCTAATTGTTGATCATACGTAACTGATGCCTTTTATTTTGTGAATAATTTAATTTTCTTACAATTAAATATTATAATTTTCCTCCCTCCCCTCTTCTGATTATAGTCTAAAATTTAGAGAAAATTAAAGCAAAATAAAAAAAGTATTTCCTATTTTCAAATTTTTTTATTTGAATAAAAATTTTTTGAGAAAGTTTTTATTAAAAAAATATAGTGGAGAAAGCTTTGTATAGAAAATAGAAAATTGAAAGTACTATATAAAAAATTGATAAATTTTATAATAAAATTTTATTGAAATTTTATTATATATAAGAAATTGATATAAGAAAAATTAATAGAAAAGTTGAAAATCTCACTAAAAATAAGTTGGAAAAAACTTTTTTATTAAAAAAGTATAAAAAATTTACTAATTAAAAACAATTAAAAAAAAACTAAAAACATCACTTTTATTTTTTATTATAGTATTAAGATATAACTATATATAAATAACTCTATAAAAAAATTAAAGAAAAAACTTCCCTACAAACCAAACACAGCCTTAGGCCAACAAGTCAAGTTCGGATAAGTAATTAGATTAAAGAGATGAACTAGTGGAATATGTCTGGGCTTGTTTTGTTTGTGAATGATGGTAAAAGAAATTGTCAAATCAGTTTTATCCAATTATTTTTTGTAAAGTCAGACAAGCCAATTCAATTGGATGCCGGATGCGAAACTTTCACTAAGGCAATGCCACTTTTGTCATCTCCCATCATCTCCTGTCTCCTGTCTCCTGTCTCGATTGTCTAGTTTATCCGAATTTCACTAATTTATAGGACTAAATTGAAATTAAAAGACATTTTCTTCACTAATCTCTAATGGAGAGGAAAACGTGTAAACATCACAAGCACACTCCACCAGATTCATTTTAAAATAAGCAAGTCACAATCAGTAATATTTAATCAAATTTATTTGCTAATCAGCCTCTAAGTAATACTCACATTTTTTATGAATTTTTTATCTTTTTTTTTTCAAATAATAAATAAAAACCACCAAGAATTTGATTGAATTAATTCCATTAAATTTAAAAATCTTAGTTTAAAATCCAAGTCAACCATTGAAACTCTTATAAGTAAGTTAACTTCTTGTGCAAAAAATATTAACAAATAAAAGAAAACACTTCTAGAAGGAATTGATACCTCATCAGCCTCTTTCATGTATCGCAAGAAGACTAGTTTGTTAAATAAAGATATTAAGCAGTTATATATGGTGAATATCACTTTGTTTCTACTGTTGGTTTGATTTCAACTATGGTTGGCACAAACAAGAGGTGAAAAAACCCTACGCAAGCAAAGCACCTAGGAGGTGACGGCTCTCTGTTTCTATCCCCCTCACCACCCTCGATCCCCCTGTTTTACCATTGCCCTTTCTATTTTTCTTCATCCTCATCCCCTCAAGCGGATGCTCCATCTTTGCTCCCTTTCCTCTTTTCTTCAACATTTCCCTTTCCTTATGGTCCTCTTCCTTGTTATCCTTTTCCCAACCTCTCGACATTTTTGTAACGTCCTAAATCCCATAACAAGATGGAAGTGTGGATGTGATTGATATATAAGTGTGAAGATTAATCACTACTAACAACTTAAACTTGAGTTTTTGAGGATTCATGGACCTTGATCCATAAAAGTTATTAAGTAAATAGCATGCTTCAACTTAGATTGTTTAATATTAAAGAGGTCACCTCTCGTAGGTGTGAGCCCATGTTGACCATCATAGTTGGTGGTAATGTGGACCCCACATCACTTGAGATGGATCTTGTGCTTGTGGTCCAATGGTCCTTACTTTGATTGCGATTGACTTGATGAGGACATCAAGTGTTTACGTGGAAGAGATTGTAATGTTCCAAATCCCACATCGGGATAAAAGTGTAAGTGTGATTGGTATATATAAGTGTGGAGAGCAATCAATCCTAACAACTTAAACTTGAGCTTTTGAGGGTTTGTGAACCTTGCCTTAAGGAGTTGTTAGGCTAGTAATGAGTTTTGGCTCGAGTCGTTTCATTTTTTCCTCCATCTCTTCGCCAATCACTCGTTCAAACTTTCCACATTTTTTGCTTAAGGCAAATTTCTCTTGAACATTGTTTTAAATTCTAGGAATGGGATTCTGACATGCATTAGTCCCTCCCCTTTAGGCACTATTAGAACAAGTGAGGAATGTGAGCCAATGGTGGCAAAGAAGCTTGGATTTGAAGAAGGTTGATGGATCGATGGCAAAAATTTAAAGGTGGTAGTATAGGCTTGCAAGTGGGAGATTGATTAAAGAGGTATATACCTCTTAGGCTAACATTGCCATGGATGTGGTAGGGCTTTTAGTGGGCATGGACTGTTGATAGCCTAATTACTTACTCTCCCCGAAGGCTAGCATAATAGAGGGGTGATCTAGTAGCTACGGATCCTTAACAGGGTGAACTTACTACATTAGTAGCTCTGTTAATGTCTCATATAGTGATTAGTTATGCAATATTTAGTTACAATTGGGTCCTCTACATCTTAAATAACTCATTTGTAAGAGACACAAATTCTTTTATATTTAGTGATATAGGGTAACTTCTTCTATGTAGACTACATACAGCTAGATAATATGTTTAGTTACTTGATTATAAGATAGCTAGTTTCATTCTTTTCAATAATATATATATATATATATATATAGAAATTTGCTTATACACAAATGTTACAGATAACATTTATATAAAATTCAATCATTTATATTTTTGTTTTCAATAGTTAAGATTTACTTATATTT